ACTCGAAGATGAGAATGAGTCAATTGAAACGAAATTAGAAAAGTCATTAATCGCTATTAATTCATCAATACACAAGATTCACCGATTCTCACCTTATTTTCTGATTTTTGGTAAAATTTTAACGAAACCAATTGATAATCAATTAGCAATTGACAATGAAGTTAAACTTACAATCGATTCAGCAAGACAATTAACATTAGCAAGACTAAAGTCTCAACAAATTTATTATCAGAATAAACTCAGATTAGTGACTAAACCTAATCCTTACAAAATTGGAGATTTTTGTTATGTTAAGAATAGTGGACCTTCAATTGGAACCTCGAAAACTTTAGTTGCGAAATGGTTTGGACCTTATTTAGTTCTCGGAATTAAAAGAGGATCAGTTTTATTGTTAGATTCTGGTAATTACGAGCAATTTACTTCGAACTTAGAAAATACTAAACCTTATTTTGGTTCGATTCCTGAACAATTATTAATAATTAAGAATAGATATTTCGATATTAATAATGATTGGTTAGTTAATTATGATTCAATCGAGTCTGATGCAAATCAGAATGATAATAATTTTTCCTCGAATTTACCTGAATTACAATTCGATAAACTTTCTGTCAATGATGAAACTGAAGCTTTGAAGACTCTAATTGATTCCGATGCTGAAACTTTACCTGATCTAAGTCAATCTAATCATGAACAAAAAACGAGTAAAAAACGAAAAAGATACAAAACTTCTAATCGAATGATTGCTGAAAATCCAATAATTAATTGTTCTGATGAAAATTTGGCCCAACAACAAGATCACAAAATCAATCAAATCAAATTAATATTTACTTGATTATTGAAATTGGCGCTTACAACTTACCAATTGCCCGTTACCAAGGAAGTAAAGTGTTGGTAAGGAAGTCGATTGACTTTCCGCCATTGTCTTTGTGTGTTAGAAGAAAACGTTTTAAAACGCTTACTAATTGCTCTTCAAGATATTCAATTAATTGTGTTAATCAATTACCAATAATCAATCAATTTTGTCTAATTAAGTTTATCTCCAAAGTCTTACAATCAATTGAGTTTACCTTTGATTCTAAAAGTGCTTATAAATTAAGTGTTAACATTTTACCTTCTTGTTCAATTTTCACCTTGATCTCAATCAACATGACAAGTAACGATAAAATTGACGCTTCAAAGTTAACTACAATTATTGAGAGAATTCCGGATGAACCAATTTCAATCGAACCTAAAAAAGTGACCTTTGAAAATACAAGTGAATCAAGTTGGCCGAATGACAATTCGCCTTCTTATGCAAATGTATTTGGTGAATCATCTTCTCAAGCTCTTTGGGCTAAACTGAAGTTAAAAGATCCATTACCAGTTCAAACTGCTGAAGCTCGTCGCTCAATTGAGTTGGAATCAATAAGAGGCCTTAAAGATAATTCAATTTATCCTCCACCTTCAAGTGACCAAGAAAAGTACAACGACTATTTTCCAGCTCGAAAGCCACCAAATGATTCCGATTATCCTGAATATCTACAAATAGAATTTTTTAATCAAGCGAAAATCGAGATAAAAGTGGAAATTGAAGATGCGAAAAAACTTTACGATATTTATGTTGAATTCGTGAAAGAAAAGTTAAGGCTCAATGCTTTGGATATTGAATTAGATCAAATCAATTTCAATTCCGTTCCAAAAGGTCTCATAAAAGCTCGTGTTATTTACTCTAATCTACGAGAAATCTCATCAATTGTGACATGTAACTTTTGTGAACAAATTTCAATCTCACCTCGATCATGTTCTAAATGTACAAAAATTTATTGTGCTAAGTGTACACTCTGGTTACGAGAAATTACTTCTCAAATTGGTTTGGAAAAACCGACAACATTGGACTCGTTTCTCTGTATTAATTCAAATTGTTTGATATCAACTTGTTCTGATGGTTATTGTAAATCAATTATACCAGAAAGAGACGAAATTTTAAATTTCTACAGACAATCTGAATTTTTATGTAATCGAAAATTCTGCAAAGAGAAATGGAAAGTTAACAATTACAGTTTCCACATCGATCGCTGTCGAAAAGGTCCAATCGATTTTACCTTTGACAAAGATTTGACTTTACCATTTCGTGTTGGTCCTGTTAGAAAACAGATATCAGATAAACCAAGAGATCTCGCATCAATGTTACCTTCTCATCTAAAAGTTCAAAAACCAACATTAACTCATCAAGAAGTTTGGAAAGAAAAAGCTTTAACTTATGCTTTTCTAATCAATGCTCGTGAAAATAATCCCGATGATCCTCATTTAGATCCAGTTTCTATTCGTATTCAAACGAATACAAGATTTAATCATTGGAATAATCGAGCAATGGCTAAAGATCCTACGGAACCAACAGATGAATCTGAACAATTTTTACTCAATATTGGTTTCACTTCATGCGCTTCAAAGCCCAGAGACCCAACCTCGGTGGCCTACAACTCGCTGTTCATCTGTACCAAATTATCTACTGAAAGAATCAATTGATTGGTTAAAATGGTCCAAAGGAATAGACGATAATGAATCAGTTATATCTGATAGTTCAAGTTATGTGTTGTTTTAATGAAATCGATGACCTCATTCACCATTCATAAATTAATCCATTTGACAGATTATCACCAAGTGAAACTGAAGAAGTTCAAGAATGGTTGAAATCGCATTTCCCATCATGTGTTAACCCATGCTATTTACAAAGTTCCAACACCATCATCAAACCCAAAACAATTTCTTCTGTTGCTATTAGAAGACAAAATTAAATAATTCATTCGCTAATCGACCTACTGGAATTATACCACCGATGCTACAAGAACAATTGGATTTTATCAAAACATTTCAAAAGATCTGACAGATAAAAATCTGATATTTGGAATCGCAAGTTTCAATGTTCGTATCAAGGAAGGTCCAAAGATAAGACCAAGGCCTTGTTGGATCGTATTAGTCGATGGTAACATGAAATATTACGAGACATTCGTAAAGTATCATGAAGTTGATTCTCTTGATCATCGTTTCCATGGTCTCACAATGAATGACCTAAAATACGCTCGTAATCTTGGAACAGTAAGAGATCAAGTACTCAAGTATCTTGTCTGTGCAACTAAAATCATTGGTCATGGATTGATTAATCAATTTCTCAGTCTCGGATTAACAACTTATGAAGTTAATCAACTTTGTTCAAGTTTCGAGAAGTAACTAATTACTATTCACCTTATAATGAACATCCAATGTCAATGCATTTCATTGCATTCCTATGGTTTACTGGTTACACTTTACCTGCAGATCCTCACTCACCTGTAGTCAGAAGCAATTACTGCTATTCGATTGTATATGTTACAATGGAGAAATTGAATATATGGCTACTGATGTTCTGGACGGAATGCATCATAAAATGTCGTATATGACTTGAGTTCAATTACAAGTGCTTTGTTATTTGACTTCGATAAAGGAGTAAAGAAGGACGATTATCTTGGCCAACCGAATGGATAGGAAATTGAAATTTCAGAATTCAACGACAATTGTGTTAAACCTTCGGAAGAAATACTCAAGATGAAAGAAACTAACATTGCTGAAGAATCAAATGATTTAAATCAACCCTCAACTAGTAACGGAACTAAAGTTTCAAGAATGAAACGATTACTTCCTTATCTTCAAGCCAAAGCAATTCAGAGATCTGAATCTCATGAAATTGACAATTGAAAATGTCTTCATCATGGTATGGGGTTTGAAAGGATAAATTTACCCTCTTCCAATTACAATTTAAAGATTCAAATCTCTTCATTTTCTTTACTTTCTTTTTCTGTTACGATCTCAATGAGATAATGATCCCTTAAGTTGTCTCTTTCTTATTCATTTTCTCTTTCTTTTATTGTCTAACTTGACCATTTCCGACTTGTGTCTTCCTCTGAATTAGTTTCCTTCCGTTTATTAAGGTATAAATAGAGTAACAATTTACCTTTAATTATCATTAGTTTTGATTAATATCATCGTCATCATCAATTGATTAACCAAATTGAGTTAAATGTTTAACAAAGTGATTGTGAATTAATCTAAGTGATCAAGTAAAATGTGTTTTCTATTTTCTAATGTTTAAGATTAATAAAGTGATTAAATTCAAGTTTAAGTTATGATATTTAAGGTACAACGACAAAGTACAACGTTTAAAGTGAAAATTACAAAATTCTAGATTCATTGAGTTGTAATATCAAAATGTTAATAAGTGTTGATCCACAAAAAGAACCCAAATCTTGGGATTTGAAAGGCCTAAGGTGTGCGTCTAACTATCAATCTGATGTAAATCAGTTCTCGGTAACAAAACGACTCAATCAAACCTTTCAATCTTATAGCTAAGAGCCTCTAGTTTATGATTGAGAAGATGAAAAAAGTTCAACATTGAAAATTTTCACAAATAGAAAAAAAAATCACCGAAAACCAGGCATTTCTTTAGATTTTCATAAGTTTGGACTTTTTTTTTTCATCAATTTTCGCGCATTTTCAGAATTTAAAAGACTTTAACATGGAATTTTTTGCAGATTCTATTAAGATTATTCATGGAAATGTAAATTATAAAAAAGCAAGTTTTTAAACAGCTCGAAACGGTCCATAAATTGACTTTTTAGTTGCGACCTTGTAAAAAAAGTCGACAGTTCGAAAATTGATGAAAATTCATTTATTCGTGAAGAATAGTACACACCAAAACTTAAGAAATTTCATAGAAATCAGATAATTATTAAATAAAAGTTATATCAAAAATTAACTCTACTCGATAGATTGGACAAATGAAGAGACCAAAGTTAGCATTACTCAATCAACATAATTATCATTATCCAAATCAATAAATTTAGTTGTTTTTGTTGACTCTCATTTGTCATCAATCAACTAATTGTCTAACTTTTATCAGGAATAATAAAAAGTAAACAAAAAAAAAGTTGATAGAAAACTAAATTATCTAAATAACCATTTCGATAATTAATAAAACTTGAAGATAATTAAAAGGGAATTTTTTTATTTCTTGTTTTCATTGATCGTTAACTAGTTTTTCAATTAGCTGATAAGTTCAGCGTATTAATCATCATCATACTCATGATTAAGATAATTATTGTTCTGCTGATTGTTCATTGTTTTCACCAATATGATATAATCGTTACATTGATTGTTTATAATCAAAGTTTTCTGGCAATATAATTAATAGGAAATTATCATTTTCTAAAACAAATGATAAAATATTCAAAAGTAACATCAAGTTGAATTGAAGACAAATCTTTCGTTCCAAATGTATCATGAAGTTGATTGAGAATCTGATTCATGATGGATGACTCTTTTTCTGGAAATTTTTCTCGGAATTTTTCACTGGTTCCAAGTGAGTTGATTAGATCAATTATATAATCAGCTGATCGCCTCGAGGTTGTTTTAAAAGTTTCCTCATGACAAACCTTTTCAAATGGTAAATTAATACACCGATATTTGGTATTAATCATATCTGCAAATACTTTCACAGGGAAACCATGTTCTTGCCATGTTTGCATTAGATTATCAATTGATTGTCCAATATGATCAAGATTTAAATCTGGTTTATCGATTTGGGTTAATTTGGGTACTGGATAGTAACCAATTGTCACGAATAAACCACCAGAATTAAGGAGAGAATCAACTTTTCTATTGAACTTTTCAATATCAAAGAAATGAAGAGCCTCACAAACAGTAATCAGCTGAACTGAATTATCTTCCAGGGGAATACCTTCACCAGAACTTATCTAATAATAACAGAGGGAAAGATAAGTTGATTAAAGATAATTGTTCATCTATTTTGTTAATTGTTGGGCAAAAATCAGCCTTGTCAATCATGATTGATTGTCCTCTCTCTCTATCTCTCTCTTGTTAACAATTAAATTTATCAAATTCCTATTGTTATAATGTAAATATTATTTTTCTGTTCAAAGGTTATTGATTATGATTAGATTAACTAGTTCAATTCTGTCAATGATTAGTCAATTTTTTTTGGAAAACTCTCGATTTTGAGTAATTTTCTTCCTGATAATTAAGAGATTGGCTTTTTATTTTTCGGTCGATCATTGGGATTATTGGATTAGGATTAAGGGTGATAACAGTTTGATTTGTTTCTTACCTTAAATGTTACATTGTTAAATTGATTTCTTTGATTAGCAATTTGAAGTTGAGGTTCACTGATATCATATCCAATCACTTGGTCAAAATAATCAGCTAATAGGAAGGTTGCTTGACCAGAACCACAGCCAACATCAACAGCTCTTGACCATTTACCATTTGGATTTGGATTTACTGATTGTGATAATTGATTGATTATTGATTTAATCAAATCTTTTGGTGGACTTGGTCTAACTTCAATATAAATTGAAGCGACTCCAGTTGAATCGTATTGACGATGTGTCATTTTTGTTATAATTGAGAAAACGAATCTGAAGTGATCACTGATCAGAATTAAAATGATCTAATTATCTTTATTATTCAGTTGAGTATATAATTAATGATAATCATTTGATTTGACTGATGATATTTGATAATAATAATCTGGAAATCGTAATAATAATAATCATCTCTTATACCAATTACGTTATTTAGCTAGATTGACTTGAGATAAACATGATAATCAAGATAATTAATGAATTAATTTTTTTTTGTCGTTTTCAAGATCATCAAAGTTATTAAATTAACTAGTTATGATCAACAACTTATCCATTTAAGGATAATAATATCAAAGGAAAACAAATTGAATTAGTTAATTGCTCAAATCTTGAATAATAAACAGCTTATTCCGCTATGAAATTACCTCTTTTATTTCACCCAAGTAGCTCTGATAGTCTCTGCTGATTCAAATTCAATTTCATATTCAGGTTAATGTCTAATTGTTTCAAACTATGATCTAAATTGTTTCTTAATTGTTTCTTAATTTTCAAACTTTCGATCCCACAAGAGGCGCCATCTAGTTGAATTAGAAAGAAATTCCAATTGAACTCAAATCGAATCCAGGCCAACAGATGTCGCTAGTTAAGCCTCTTTCTTTTTCCTTTTCCTCTTAAAAAGCAAAAGGGACATCACCTAATTTCCTTTCCTAATGAAGGGAAAGTTATCTAAGAAAAAAGAGTCGAAGATCAATTTGAATACGAAATTAATTATTATAACAATTAAGGTGTAAACGCTCAACGATTAATTGGAATCAAGAGATTTAATATCTTAGTTTTAGTTATCAACTATTCTATCTTTTGATAATTTAAATAGCTAAATATCATTAGCTGAATATTTTCAATCTAATCAAACAATTAATTAACAATTTCCTGGTTCCAAATAAATTGATTAGACTAAAATTAACTAATGACAACAAACGGTAAACATTTAATTAGAACTGAAAATTATTACTGATTAGTTAATAGTCTATGATGATTATATAAATAACCTTCAGGTACAGTTAAACTTAATCAATTAATTGTGATCAATTGATTTTTTATCTTGCCGATTGCATTTACCAAAAAACTCCCCAAAAATTTTACAACAATTAACTAATCGTTGAAATTTGATTGATATGAGACAATTGAAGAAAAATTTGAATTCATTGATTGCCCTTAATTGTACTTAATCGAAGCAGATTAATTAGAAACAAAATTAGAAACGATAACAATTTGTGATCTTGCACAACAATCACAACGATATTAAGTGTCAGTGGTTTTGATTAAGAAAAAGTTGTTCTTACAATTTAATCAATGATCGTAATCAAATCGTCCATGATCAAGTTAATTAACTAGTAGGTGATTAACAATTAATCAGAAAAAAATCACGACTCTAAATTCATGGCAAAACCTTAAACCTCCATTGGAAAAGGTAAGAGCAACTCGAGTGATTAGATAATCATATTAATTGTCAAGAGGAATCAAAATGATTAGGATGATGATGATGATGAAAATGTCTCTGTCTAAATCATCTTTCTTCTCTGTCTATTTTTCCATCTTACTCAATAATATTAATCTATTAAATCAAATTGTAATTGGTTGATAACGATAAGAGTGTTGGAGTCAACGATGAACAAAATGAAAAGTTTCCCATGATTAGTTAATTGTTATTCATCTTCAGCTTAGCATAGATGATTTTTTTTATTCTAATTAATTGTAATTAATTATAATTTGCAATTCTAATTGTCCAAGGATAACGATCATAGTTGGTGAATTAACTGGGAATCAACAGTTATTTTTTGTTTTCTTATTCTTCTCGAATTGAATTAACTTTTAATTGTGTCTTTTATAATCTAAATTTTTACTTAATTGTGTCATCGAGTTTGTCAACAATCAACTAATCATGAACAAGATTGTTTTCCTTTCCCTCGGGGGCATTGGGATCGCCATTGCCCTTATATCAGCAATAGTTTTAGGACAATTTCCCAATATGATTCAAAAACAAGTCTCAAAGGTTGGTAACAATTAAATCTAATTACAAATGTTTCCAATGTCAAATTGCAACAATTAAAATAGAGTTTCGATTTTAATTCTGTTCTGATTGAGTCTAATTTTACATCGATCTTTCTAATTGTGATTTAGATGCGAAAATAGTCAATCGACTCTAATCAAATTAGTTAATTTTCCTATTGATTTATTTTTCTTACTTTTCCATTTGTTAGTTTTAATTATCTTAAACCACTTGAAAATTAATTATGAAAAGTTATTATTATCGTTAATTATACTTTGTGTTGGATAAACATTGTAACAATTAAGTTAAATGTAAATATTGATAATCAAGTCTACAGGTAATGATTGATATGGAAAATTAATTTCTAACCTTGATTGTGATAATTTAGATTTTGAAAAAGTTAATCACTAATTATGAACAATTAAATTTTCATGTGGTTTTGAAAGAAAAGACAATCAAATTATTATCAAACAATGAAACAATTAACTAACTGTTTTGATTTACCAGGAGTACTTTTTTTCATTATAATTTGATTCACATATCAATTATCATCGTGATTGTATCAACAATTAAAGTCTCGTTGTTTAAATATTATAATTAACTAATGATAAGAAATAAACAGGATAATCTTGATCAACTAATTGTTAAGTTAATTTGTCTCTTTCGAAACCCTCTTAAGATAATCAATTAATAAATATTGAACCAGTAAAGAGCAGAGAGCAAGTTAATCGTGATTTAGTTAAATTTTTACCACAAGAATTAATGATTACTATGATTCGTGGTAACCAAAATTAATCATAACAATTAATCAACCAAATAGTTGATCGTCAAATATTGATTGGAAACAGACAGAAAATGATTAATTCCTGTGGTGTGATTAACTAAATCAACTTTCTCCCCAGTGATAAGGTTGCAAATTTGCTTAAAATAGAAAGTAATTAAGTCTTAATTGTTGATAATATAATTCGTAATCGTTCATCTAAACAATGGGAAGATCAACAATTGAAACCAGGGTAATCACAAGCAATTATGATTCATAACGATTAGTGATTCCAAAATTGCTCCGATTGTTGTTAATTTCATAACTGGAAATATGATTATTTTAGATAATTGTTATTATCAAAATAATATAACTAAATCTGAATTTTTTTTTCCATCTCTGTCAATAGCAACTTGTAGTCTCAGAATGCTCAGAAGATTATGAGAAATTCCTAGCACCGAATGTGCCAATTTACTTGAAATTTTACGTTTTCCATGTGGATAATCCAGAAGCAATTTTGGCCGGTGAAAAGCCGATATTAGTTCAAAAGGGTCCATACAGTTTCTTAGAGAAACGAGTAAAGGAAATTGATGGTTACCATGAATGTGGAGACGAAGTTGTTTATAAAGAGACGAAAACTTATCATTTTGATCCAGAGACTTCACGGAAATCGGCCTCACTTGACGACGTCGTTACTCACATCAATGTACCTGCAATGGTAATTAAAATAACGAGGGGATGAAAGAGAGAAAATTGATCTAAACTAAATTGTCAACCTTTTCCTTTTCTAGACTGTTATGGGCGCTTCTTTCCATTTACCGCAAAAAGGAATGGGTCAAATATTCCGAAGCCTTTTCCCCCAATTGGCGACACAAAAAACGAAAACAACAATGTTCCTTAATCACACAGTTCGAGAATTGTTATTCGAAACGTATCCAATTGAATTTATTGATGACCTGAACTCGGTTTTAGCTCAATTGAAACAACCATCAGTTAATCTAACCGATTTCGCTTTCTTTATGGATGTAAGTTTATTTTTATCCAAATTCCAACGCCAATGATCATATTAATTGTTGACTTTCTGCCGAACAGAAAAACGCAACCGATGAAGGTGAATTCAGAGTCCACACTGGAGCCAAAAAAATCAAGAATCTTCTTCATATCGAGAGTTGGAAAGGTTCACCGTAAGTACCAGTATAATATGCCACCAATCAACAGTTAATCAGCTCAATTAAGAAAACAGAAACAACAATTTGGTATCAAAAATGATTAGGGAACATTAATGTCTATAGGCTTTGTTATTGTTTCTATTGTAATGATTAACCAAACAAAAGATTGATGAAAATTTTGTCAACTTAAATGGACTTTGACAATATAATTAATTGTGTATCTTTACCTTAATCTTTTTCCTTCTGTCACAATGGAAAACCAAAACCAATAATCAAATTTAATTCCAAAGTCAAGTTGATTTTTGGATAGAAAATTCAACTTGTAACAACATCGTTGGAACCGATGGATCAGCATTTCCTCCTAATGTCAAGAAGAACAGTAAACTTGAGATATTTACAACTGATCTTTGCAGGTAATTAACACAATTAACTAATTAAAATGAGCGAAAATTGGTTAACACAAACAATTAATCTATTTACAGATCTTTCCCATTGGTGTACAAAGAGAAAGTAAAAGTAAAAGGAATCTCAACTTACCGATTTGTTATTCCACCGGAAGCTTTTTATGGACCGGAAAAGAATCCAGAAAACAAGTGTTTCTGTATTAATCCCGATCCAAAGACTTGTAATCACAACGGACTATTGGACATATCAAGTTGCCGACAATTCGCTCCATTAGTGGCCTCATCCCCTCACTTTTTCCAAGCCGATGATGACCTTTACAACGCGATTATTGGTCTAGATGAAAGAAAAGCAGATCGATACCAAACCTATTTAGATATTGAACCAGTAAGGATTCAAATCATTTTCGTAATTGTTTCCATCTGATTAATTTGATTTTCTTTTTCTTTTCTCTTCTAATTAGATCACCGGAAAGGTTTTATCGGCTTTCAAGAGATTACAAATCTCTGCTTGGCTCAAGAATGACTACAGGTAAGTAGTGAAACAATTGGATTAGTTAATTGTTATTCATTTTAATTTGTTTCTTTTGTTTTGTTTACCAACAGTATTGAAAAAACCAACACTAATGTTTACATGCCGGTTATTTGGGTTGAAGAGGTTTGTCTTTAATTGTTTGATCAGTTTGGTTTTTCTCTGTTATTAATTGTTGTTTGTCTGATTAATCTTTCTAGGGTTTTACTTTAACTGATGAACTTGCCGATGAATTTAAATCAAAGGTTACCAAAAAAGTGAACCTTGGATCAAGTCTACTCATTACTGCTCTAATCATTGGATTACTTTTAATTGTCGCTGGTTTAGGATTATTTTTCTATAATAAATTTCAATCTGGTAAGAGATTAACACAACTGATTTGTTGATCAATTGATTATCTTTCATTTTGGTGATGTTTCTTTACCTTTGCTTAAGTGAAGGAAGAAAACAAAAATCAATAATATGCAATTTCATTGGTTGGAAAGTTGAATAGTCTTTGTCGAAGCTTATAGATAAACTTTATTCTTGTTCCCACCAAAATCACAGTTTCAAACAGAATTAGATTATTAGTTTTCTTTTAATCTACTTGATGATTTAGTAAATGTGATTCTTATTTATTGTGATATTCACTTCATTTCCTGTGATACATTTTGCCACAATTTCTATTCTCTCATCTTTGATGATCGTATTCCCTTTGATCCCTTTTCCCACTTCCTTATGGAAATAGACGTTCAAATCGAGGATCCTAGAGCCAAAGTGATGAAAAGTTGGAGACCCGAAGTGACCCCTGACCTGCCCTCAAATTCTGTTGCTAAAGAAAACAATTCTCAGACAAAATTCTGATTCAAGATTGAACAAGAAAATTCATAAGTTCAGCTCAATTCTCGAATCTTCCTTCAATCCCAATGGTAGAAAGAGCGACCTTTGAGTAAAAAATCAACTTTTTTTCGCTCATTCCTCGTATCCATATTTTCCGAAACAATTAACAAACTAATTTACTTACAACTATTACTAACCAATTAGTCTACTATCTAACAACATCATTTTCTATTGATTTAATTTTTAATTGATTGACTTTTTTCTCACCTTTTCTTTTTCTCTTTTCTTTTGTATCTCTTTAGGTAATTGATGAAATTAACAATCATTTTTAAATTCTTAACAATTGACATACATTAAATAACAATTAAAAATGTATAAAAATATCATCAATAAACATGAATTTTGGACAATAAGTTCAATTGTGTGATTTGTTAAAAAATTATTTTCTTTTATTTTATACAATTGGCATAAATTGTTCAAAGTATAACGTTATTTACTTATGAATGATTTTCTTAAAGGAAATAGACAATAGGTTTACTCATCTTGAGGTGGTTTTGATGATGACGGTGGGGTTGAGGGTGGCGGGGGTGTTGATGATTGTAATTGTGGCTCTGATTGTGTTTGCGATGGTTGTGGTTGTGGTTGTGATTCTGATTGTGGTTGAGGTTGTGGCTCTAAATGTGGTGGCGATGGTGGTTGTGGGTGTGGGCACATTGTGATTGCTAGAGGAGCTCCCGTTCTTGGTGTTGGATGATCAATTTCCAATGACTCGTTGAGAGGAGCTTTAACCAATTCTGAGGCTTCTAATTGTTCGGGTAATTTGACAAGTTCAAGAAATTTGGCAGTTTTAAGTAATGATTTGACTCTTGATTGTTCAACGACTAAATTTCCTGTATAAATAAATTTGAGAATATCTTGTAAATCTTGACCGGGAACTTCTTTTAAAACGACTATGGGAGTAACTGGAAAAGGCCCTTGAATTGATAGAGAACATTCAACAATTTTAGAGAAAAAGGTTGACCAATTTCTAAGAATTAGCTTATGACTCTTGACTGGGATAAAATCGTCACCACAAACAAAAACGATATCAGATAATATTTCAGAATCAGTCAAGGAGATTGATGAAGGTGCACACATTTCAGCACGAAGTCGAATCTTGCTTCCAGACCCTTCAGAAGACATTTTTCCAACCAACACAGATTAACACAAATCAAACGAATCAATAAAAACAGAAAACAAACACAATAATTAAAATCAACAATTCTAATCAAAAACAGAAAGCAACGATTCCATCAATTATGTAACCATCAACAAAAAGGATTCATTTGTTTACAACCTTTTCTATTGAACTGCGCCCTCTATCAATTCGAAAGCAAAGTTATTTTCTTTTCTCTGCCCCTGGTGAGAAAAGATGAAACTTCCTAATGTGTTGGATTTTTAATCGTTGATTTTGTTTTTTAGTGGAGATTAATTAGTCTTCAACTATTTTGCCGACATCACCAATTAATTATCAATTAACTGTTTAACTCTAACATTGACCTTATCGTCTGTTGGTGATTAGTTTATGACTGTCAACTCACCAAGTTCACTTTTAAATAGTGTTGACAGTTTGATTTTTCTGTCCATTCTTCTGACTTGATTTGATTATTTTTTCTGTTGATCTTCCGTACGTTTAAAATCTTTAATTTTACTTTTAATTTCAATTGTTTTCCATTTTCTTTGGGGTGAATTTTTTTCCTCATTTAACTGTTCCATTTAATTTAAGCTTTGTTTTAAATTATATTTAGTTTAAAGAAAAAGCTTAACTACTAACGATAAGAATGTCTGTGTTGGAAGAGCTTTTGAAATTTTCTCCTATTCCAATGGAACCTGAACAAGCCAAGTTTCTTATTGCCAAAGGTTTAGGTTATTCTATTATTGTTGCTTCATCTTTAATCAAATTACCGCAACTTTTCAAGATTACTGGTGCTCGTAATTCCGCTGGTATCAATTTCTATGGCCAAGCACTAGAACTGTTTGCCTATTCTCTCAACTGTGGCTACTCTTTTGCTAAAGACTATCCATTTAGTGCCTGGGGTGAATCATTGTTTCTCTTGGTTGAAAATTTTCTCATCTGTCTTGCTGTTCTTTTCTACAACAATCAAAAATTGAGCTGTTTAATTTTCTCATTTCTTTACACTCTAAGGTAAGTTGACATAGAATATTAGCAAAATAAAATGTACACAAATTGGAGACTAATCATTTGGAAAATTGTTTTTCATTTTAGCTTCGGAGGTTTGATGTCTGGTCTAATTCCCATTGATATTTTGTGGTACCTTCAATCATTAAATTTACCTCTAGCAATCGGTGGTAAGATGATCCAAGGAATCAGTAATTACAGAAATGGACACACTGGTCAATGTTCCGCTATCACAGCTACTTGCCTTTTCCTTGGTTGTATCGCTCGGATATTTACCACAATCCAAGAGACAAAAGATAATCTAATGATCGTTAACTTCACCGTTGCATCGATGGCGAACTTTATTCTCGTCTCTCAAATCTTTTACTATTGGGAAAATACTAACAAATTCTTGGCCAAATCAGCCAAGAAAAAGAAGAAGTAAACTAGTTGATGAAAAATCATGAAACAATTAAGTTCCCAGCTCGAAGCAAATTGAAACAATTATTAAAAACAATTAACTGTCATCATTACAATGAATTCAATAAGGAAACAAAACTCAAAATCTGAGTCCATTTTGTATATCAAAGTAAAACAAGAAACACAAAAAAAGTTACTTAATCAGTTGCTTAGTAAATTTTGAGTACATGAAGATAAAAGTGCAACAATTACAAGTTTTTCTTATTACTAAATTAAATCTCTCATTTTGGATAAATTTTATTTTCTTAGCTAATTTTTTTTTTCTTTCAATTTGGTTCAGTCTTTTTTGTATCTTTTTCTTCATTCAATTAATTAGTTGAGAAAAAGATTCATTAACGATTTAATCGTTAAAACTAAAATAATTGATGAGTAATTAAATATTTAGAGTTGATCAAAAATATGGATGGAAAGTAATCAAAAGAGGAAATGGAAAAAGTGTCAAGTAGATGATTAAAGAAGATAAACAATTATGTTTCTTATCGTCTTCTCTTAACAGCTGATTACTTATCGCCTTAATTAGTAACATTATAAATATTGTGATGGACATTTTCAATTAATCAAATGATGTGACTGATTTTTTTTTGAGTTTTCCTGTGTAAGTTTTTTTTTCAGGCTTTAGGGTGAATATGAAGATGATGAATTTTAGATTTTCATGAAATGGTTGAACAAAAAAAAACAATCAATATCAAAAACATGAAAACTAAACGTAAATGAGGTTAATTTGGTTTGGTGAACAATAATTAATTGTTACTGTTATGTTTCCATGCCTGAAGATGTAGCATCATTAGAAGCTGTTGTGATCACTTGTGTAAGGTTAATGTTGCTACTTGTTGTTGAGTTAATTACTGATTGATTTACAATCATTGAGTTGTTGGTTGATTGGTTTACTAGTTGAAAATTGTCAAGGTGACTATCAACTTCTGATTCATTCATAGTTTGATCGGTCATCATTAGGGAGGGTTGACCATCTTCTTTAATCTCATCATCAGGTGAGAAGATAACGTCAATAATTGATTGGGGTAAATGAGATCTCTGGGTATCCGTGAAGGAGGAAACATGTTCCTGAAGAGTGGGCTTAAAGTCAGGAGCATTTCGAAAAACGGTTCTTAATTGAGGAGCTGGAAGTTGTAATAGAACTTGAAAACTTTGAGGTTTTGTTCGTTGACAACATTTGATAAAACCTTCCCAAACTTTTTTCTGATTCCAAACTTGCTTAAGTATAAGTCTTTGTAATATATTCATGACAAAACCTAAAAGACGAGGATGGAGGGACAGAGATTGTATCACGGTTCTCATTAGGAGAGTGGGGAGCGGATTTTGCTCCATTAGTAATTGCATCACAACAGCTAATACTTCAGCAGTGTAAATATGTTTCTCGGCAAAGCATAAACCAATAGCTAAAATAGAATAATAAAAGAAACGGAATGAAAAAGAAATTAAAAGAAACAATTAGATTATTATAAATTAGACGAAGGTCATAATTTCGTTCCGGTTTCCTTAGGAAAAGAAATCAAATTTTGCAGTTCGGTTCATGGGAATACCTTTCATCACGGTTTTCATATCACATTTTGAAGGGTCAATATTATGTAAAGCGACTAAAAGATCAGCAGCAGTTAAAGGACTTTGGTAGTTTTGTCCAGATTCAACTAAAGAAAAAGAGAAAGATTAATGTTTAAAATTTGAATTGAATAAAAGTTCCAGGAATATGTAAAAATTACCCTGAGTTCCTAAAAGCCTATTGAAAACTTCTTTGACTACTAGTTGATTGAGTTTAATTAGTTTAGGCAGTGCGGCGATCACTTCTCTCTTGGATAGACCATTAAGAACAGGAATGAGAAATCTAACATCAGGCACTCGTTTATGGTAAAGATCACGAACACGCGAGACCAGTTCAGCACTTGGAGGTTGTTTGTCTGTTAAAACGTGAATAATTCGGGTTACAAGAGTTTCCGCTCCTTTGGGACAAGTCTCGACAAGAAGAAGTAGTTCCGGCGAGTCCATTCCCATTCCTTTAACGGGTGTATCAAGAACTCGAAGTATTACTCGTTTAATGTCCGGAATTGTGGACACATAAACTAGTGCAAGGTCGTGCATTAATTTATGATTATTGGGAAGTAAACAGAGATAGGGAAGTAGAAATATTTTGATGACATCTTCCGTCCATGTGGACTCGGGTTCTCCTGGCGATGGGTCTAATAGTCTTCTAAGTTTTTCCAGAGAAAATTTCTCGATTGGTTCTTTAATATCAGTTCCATAAGTTTCGTGGAGATATTTTATCACCTTGACTGCTTGTGATCTAACCTCAGGTTTATCGACAAGAATGGAAAGATTAAGCAAAACCGATAAGGTTAAAGGTCGTAGTTTGACCTTTTTCTCGATTAGTGTTTGAAGAATTGAAAATCCTAATGTTACTCCATTGTAACTCGTCTCTCGAGTGATCATCTCCTCTAATTGATTGATTACTTCGGGTGTCAGAAGAGGAACTTCAAAGAAAAATCTCGGTAAAAAGTGATCTCGATCTCTAACATCAACACGTCCGATCATCTCTTTCATCACGGATGATAAACATTTCTCATAATGAGATAAATTTCCACCATTCTTTTTAGCGACAACATACTCATTGTAGACAAGATTAAAAAGAAGTTCAACTCGATTACGAATATCTTCAAATGCATACGTACGAACCAAAGTTGCCACGTTAAAAGAATGATCATGAAATTCGGTTGAAAGTAGAGTTAAAATTTTGTTTCGACTTTCAAGGTGAGATGGACATGTGATTTGTTTCCGTTCTTCAGCTTGAATAATTCGACTCACAGAATCGGCAATCATTCTTACTTTCATATCATCTGAAAGTTCGGTTGTTGTCTCTTCAAAATTCAACTGTTTCACCTTAACCGATCCACCCAAAGTTTTACCGGTGGGCATTAGTTTCTTAACCTTATTCTGATTATTAACATGTTGTGCTTGTTCTTGTTTCTTTGCTTCCTGAGCAATCCCACGACTTACCAGTGTCGCTATTTTCTGATACTGTTGATCAGTTGAATTTTGGGTCTTCTTTGCTTTAGCCACGGCAGCGGCTTTTTCGACCATCTCTTCAACTCCTTTGCCTGAGAGGGAAAAATAATATACAAAAAGAGAAAAGAAATAAAAATAATTATTGGAAATAATTAGTGAAAATCAGTAAATGAAACTGAATATAAAATCTATGAAAGATAAAATAACATAATAAATATTTGTTGATAAGATTAACTGGTTGCTAAACTATTATCTTAATTGTTATTGATTCTTAAGTATTCGAAAGCCGGAGGTTTGGACTAATGTTTAAATTGTGATGGAAGATAAAATGTTACAAATGTTTGATACTCTTGCTCGAGTTCTAGATAAAAGATTCTGAGAGTGCGACTTTGCTGCGTTTGAAAGTTTTTTTGTTTTCATTGTTGTTTTGGTTTCCCATTGAATTTTAAATTGATTGATCTGCAATTAAAGCTGTTTAAATGGAGAAAATTGTGTAGAAAATTATTATTCTGAAAAAATGATATAAATACTTTACCTATACCAGTTGAGGTGAATTGAGTTGACAGTAAACGGGCAAGATGTTTGATCTGTGAAGGTGTACCGGCAGCGGCGACTGGAGTGTAAGAGGCCTGAAATTGGGCAGGCATGGAATCGGGTAGGGAAAGTAAAGATACTAGGACAAGATCACAGACATTGGCGATATTATTTAAACAGGGGATCAGGTCTTCAGAGGTAATGTCAATGGCTGTATTAGCATCATTTCGAGTAACTTTGGGAGGAGGTAAAGGGGCAACGATTGTAGAGGGTTCAAGCTTTTCTTTAGGGATGTTATTACTATCAACATCCGGTTCCAGTTTAATTTTTTTAGGTTTAGGTTCAATATTGACTTGGTCAACCTTTAATCCTCTTTTTCGAACCTCTTGGAGACATTTGTATACATCTGATTGACCAGCTCCAAGATCATTTAAAAGTTGAATTATTTGTGATTGAAATTGTGTATTAGTTGCTGCTGCTGGATGTTTGAGTAACAGAGTCAATTGTACCTTTAACTGTTTCCGTACCGAAGTTACTTGTGAACTTGCCAAGGTTGGAGGTAAATTAGCATGTAAAGACTCAAGAGCTTGTATAACTTTGGATAGAAAACGATCAGATCGTTGTCTAGCTATTATTACAAGAGTTTGCATGGTGGTCATCAGATTTACACTCGAAATATGAGGTGTTCCATGGAAAATGAGCAACTGTTCAAAAACATAATCAGCTTCTTCTTCCAATTGTTCCAGATTAACCAATTTACAATTTTCTATTGAATCCAAGCTTAATTCCTTTGTCTCTGACCATTGATCACGTTTGGTTTGTGAAATAACTACCATTTCCATAAATTTAATACATTGGGTTCTAACACCATCATTTTCCGAAGCATCAATCAGGCTAAAAATGTACCTTTTAATATTCCCCCAAACTTCATTGGTTTGCTCAAGAATCTCATTAACATTAGCCTTTGAGGCCCATTTAAGAAATTTGGGATACAAAAGAGTCGAAACCTGTATACCTTTTTTAACTACATGGGGACTTGAATCATTAAGAGCATAATGAAGATTAACAATTAATTTGGGGAAAAACTCGGCATCCTTGCTACATGCAGCTTCAATGAAATTTACCATAAATTTTCTAACCTCAACCATTGGATCATTTTGAAAACCAAGAATCTCATCTGTGGAAAGAAAAGAGAAAAGAAAATAGAAGATCCAACAAAAAGATCGAATTAATCAGATACAAAATTGAGAAGACTCAATCGTACAATTTATACCAAATTGATGATGGAAAAAATGGAAGAGAGGAAGAGAGAAATGAACAGGAAGAGAAACAAGGACAGATAGTGAGAGAGAGAGAAAGGCTTACCTAAAAAATTATCCACCAAATCATTATGAATAACATACTCTTGAACTTTACATAAATTGACCACTTTCTCTTTATCAGTTGAAGCTAAAATCGCTTCATTCAAAAGATCAACAACCATGTTGTTTTTGGTCAAAAGATCGTTTGTTGTTGTGGCCATTTTTGTTTGTTAATTCATCAAGAAAGATTTTAATTTAAATAATAAATAGAGAAGAAAAAATATCAACAATCATCTATCGAAAAGAAAACAGGAAATTGAGTTTAGAGAAAAATCCGCTTGGGTCGCACTTTCGAATTTCTATTTTCTCCTCTGTCTTTTTCTCTTTCGTCTCTTTGCCTGACAGATTCATTTTCTTTTCGTGGAAATAGCTCATTCCAACTAAGCTTCTATTTCCACAGCAGATTAATTGTGAACAATTTTTTTTCTCTCTCATTTATTAATTTTATCTCTTTCTTTCTGAAACGTTTTTCTACAATTTTTGTTTATTCTAAATTGTGAATGTTTTCCATTTCTACAGCAAAAATGAGAGAATGACGAATAGAAATGCTACTAAAATCTACCGGAAGAAACTTGTACCACACCCAAATCTATATTTATAAAAAGTGCTCATCAATTCATATTTGGAATATGTAATGAAAGATATTAACATGAATTTGAAGCTTCCATGATTTAGTTCATGGAAATAGTTTAGCAATATGGTAAACATGATGATTAGAATTGAACTGAGTTTATTGCTGAATTTGAAAGGCTTTTAATCAGTCAATTCAATTGGATTGGCCTCTTTGGCCTAACAAGACCTCACAAAGCTACAGGGGAAAATGGCGGCGATGTTATGATAAAGAAAGAAAATTTCTTATTTCCTATCTGATGGTCTTTAATCTGATCAACTGGTTTGAATTAATTAAGATCAACTATTAGTTGTGTAGTGAGATGTTTAATTGTGATGATCCATTTGCTGTCAATTTTATAATTGGTTTGCAATTACTTTTCATATGATGAAATGCTTCAGGTTATTATAGAAATTGAAGTTTTTTCTTCTTCTCTAATATAGAAATTTAAATGAATTTTTCATCCTTTTAATTCTGATAATTGATTAGATTCGGAAGAAAATGAATCAAGTGATATTTCTTTTCGTTTCTCTGTTGTAATAATTTATTTTGTTCTATTCTGTTTATGGTGAATGAGCAGAATTTGATTCTTTTGTAGTTTCGAAACAATTTATTGATTAGTTGATTAAATTTCGTTTATTTTTTATGCAATTTGTTATTTGATGGATGATTTTGTGAGAGAGAAAAACAAAATTGATACAATTACAAAATTTGTGAAGTTATGGTTTTACAAAGATGAATGGAAATGTTTGATTTGTTGACAAAAACGCAAAGAAAAAATGTTAATCCAAATTAATTGTAATTAAAGTGAATGTTTAACATTCACAAGAATTTTTTTTCTTTAACTGATCAGATTTACTAATCACTTGTTCATTGTTAGTTAAAATCACTTGTTTCGATTCAATTGTTGAACTTTGATTAACAATCGTAGGAGTATTTCCATTGATCTCCAATTGATTAGTACGATTATGATTATCCAAAGTTCCCATGATCTAATTAAAGATAATTTTGAAACATAATTAAGTCCATGCAAACGGAAAGAGACAATCAATGAATCAAGAAAAAATCATCAGCTACTAATTACCTCCTTAATCAACAATTTGGTGGCTTCTTTAACTCCAATATTTTCAGCGGCCGAAACATAAAACCAATTAGAAAAACCATTTTCTTTACTGAAACAATCAAGTTTTGATTTATCATTGGCAATTCCAGTTCTGTCAAGTTCACACTAAGGTAGAAAGAAAGAAATTAAAATTAACAAAAGAACATAAATAAAACAATTAACAAGACAATCAAAGCAATAGTAGTAACAATTAAAGGAACTCATATTGTGTCTCTATAATTGATCAACAAGTATTTTCATCACCAAATGAAACTGTCAACAAATTAACTACAGCTGATTGAGAAAGATACAAAGTAGACACTGATGATGATGATGATAGACTTAAATTGATTGTAACAATTTAAATGAAGTAAATTTCTACTCCTCTTTCTCGGGCAACTGTACTTGTATCTTGGGTACACTTGTAATAATAAATATCAAGGATGATGAGGTTGATTCATGATGATTAGTTAACTAAGGGATCATTTGGAGAGGAATGAAAATATTTGGAAGAAAAATAAAAAATGATGATAATCAATGATGATTAAGAGATAACCTTGTTCACCAGTAGTAATGAAGGAACCGGTTGTCCATCTTCCAATGTAACTTTAGAATCAAAATCTTTTTTCCATTTAATTGCAGAATCAAATGAATCCGGATTAGTGGAATCAGTGATCACAAATGAACCCGAAGCACCTTTATAATAGACTCTGGTCAGCGAAGCAAATCTGTCCTGTCCAGCGATGTCCCAAAGTTGCACAATTATCTCAATATCGTCGTTCCAGACAATCTTTTTAAGAGCGAAATCAACACCAATCTGTAATTCAAATATAGAACAATTAACATTGAACAGACAAAGAGAAAAAACAAAACAAAACTAATTAGAGCAAAAGATGAAGCAGAAGAAGAGATTAACAATTAGATTTACAATTAATCACCACAGAGAAAAACAAAATGTCTCCAACTCTATAATGGTTATGTAATCCTTTTTGAAGACAAAGGCCTAAGGCTTAACACACCCAAGGGGCGAATGAAAGTTAATTTGGATGGACTGATTTTCACAGATTTAAATTGTAATCAGTGTAATTAATTGGTGATTTACTTACTGTTGCTCTATATTGTTGTGAAAATAAATTGTGAACATAACGTTTAATTATACTGGTCTTTCCAACGGAAACTTCACCAATTACCAATATTTTGAATATTTTTTGTTCTCTAGGTTTTTCTTGATAAACAATTGATTGTTCATTTGTTGATTCCAATGGTTTTTTAGGTGTTGGTAAACGATGAATTGGCTAATTAATTGTAAACAATAATCAACAATTAAGTAAATTGTGTAAATTAAAAAAGAAAAGAACAAAGAAAAAGAGAAAAAAATGAAAATGAAATTAGAAAAACGAAAACAAAACAAATTAAGTGAACACATTGAGACGAAGGTTTCACTTTGTGTCAATAGAAGGAGACATTGGAATATCAGTTGATTACTTTTTCGAACAATTAATTTGGAAAAATTAAAAACGTACCATTACTATTACGATTAAATGAACGACTAATTGTTGGTGGAAAAGTTTAAATAGTTAATAAAGTGATCATTGACAAGTGAATTGGAAAATGAAAATAAACAAAATGAAGAATCAAAAACCAGTCCCATAAACGAGAGTGAGTGAAATTGGATAGGAAAATCCTTGAGAATTTAAATTATCAGAAACTAATTTAGAGAAACTTGTTAATTATCATGATTTAATCTTCAATAGAGAATTTGAATTTCATATCATCTCCCAATTATAAAGTTCAATGTTAACGAAATAATAATATATTGTTGATCTGTTGTAACGTGCTGATGATGAGGGAAACAAGAAAATCAATCACAATCAACTAATTGCGCTCACAATTAGCGAGAGTAACAAAAAGTGGATAAATTTAGGTGAAAATTAAGAATCGTTATCATGACCATTAATTATCTTGGACATTGCTGACCAGGTCAATGGTATATTAGTAAAAACAATCAAGGATCCATTTGTTATCCAATGATAATGATAATTAGATTTGTATTATTAGTTGATAACAATCAAATGAACAAGAAAATGAATTAACAATCAAGAGTCCACCTCATTTTGGGTCATTAAACATGGAGGAGGAAATAAGGATGATTATAAAATATGAATAGAAAAAGGTTAAAAATCAATCATAACAATTTGACCCAATTAACCCAAAAATCTAATAAAACAATTAACACGACAAAAACAACAACAACAAACAATCAAAATGCAATTTAAAGTTACATTTGATAAGTAAATAGTTTGGGTCATTTAGAATCATGATTCTAACTGTAATTGATCAATGAAAACTTTTTAAGGTTAAACAGTAACACTAAATTTTATGTATTAATGATCAAATAGCCTCAGGGTAATTTAATTGATTGTTGGTTTGTTGGTAAATGAAACAACAACCAAAATTCAAGACAAGTTTTATCAACATAACAATCAACTTGCCAAATGGGAATTGAAATGATATCAAATTGGTCAAAAGTGACCATAGGAGAAGAAGAAAAAAATAAGGTCAGTTACTATGAAAGAAAGATGAAGATAAAGATGATAAAGTAAGAGAGAGAGAGAGAGAGAGAGATGTGATGATGAAGAAGAAAATAGAATGTGATATTTGCGAGAATGAAGAAACTCTTGTTTTCTTTTCTTCTTCCTTTCGGTTGAACATTCTCAGTTCGAGAATAAGGAAGAAGATAAATGAAGATAAAAGAAAGAGAAACATTTTCATCATCCTTATCTTCATCATTCTCTTTCTTTTCCGGAGTTACTTTTTTATTCATCTTTCTTTCTGCCTCCATCCACAGGGAATGCTCATGAAGATGATAACAACTGAGTATGTCTGATTAATGGAAGAAGAAGAAGAGAAAAAAAATAAAGATGATGAGGATGATGAGAGAGAGAGACTATTGGTATTCCTGAGCTTTTATCATGAAAAACAAATTCTTTGACTCAGAATCATTGAAATAAACAGAATTGAGCTGAAATCTTCACTCAATTTTCTGTTATCATACTTAACCCTCTTATTTTTTTTCCATTGTTACGATAATTCAGTCAATCAAAAGTTATCAGGAAATACATTGTGTCTAAATTACCATCATCATCTCTAACCATCCATAATTAGTAGTCTAAATTATCAACAATCAATAAATTGTAACAACAATCTCGAGGAAAAAAATATCTGGTTCCTTGTTTATGTTATCATTTTATTTTCATCTTATCAAAACAATCTCATTCTATCAGCCATTTAAATATTTGCCTTCCTTATGACAGTTCACCTGAAACTGTCATCATCTTCATCTTCATCATCAACAGTTTCATCTTTATCTCCATCATCATCATCATCATCATCATCTATCAACAGTAACAACGTGCCTATTACATTATCTAATGATACATATGTATTTTCAAGTGATTCCGTGAGTGTTTACATGAATCATTGTTATTAAATTATTTCCATTCATTAAGAGTTAATTTCACACACCCAAATAATTAGATAATCATTAACAATTATCCATCCAGGAAATTTGAATAATTTAATTGGAATCAACTTTAAATCAACATTAAACTAAATGTAAATGTTTACTTTCCATCCACAAGTTAAATTATCGAGATTTAAAGTTTGCAGAAATTTTTTTTCTTCCTCTTGATTAATCAATATACTCTTCGCGATTTGGTTAATTGTTTACAATTTGCTTCATGTTTTCTTTATTTTTCTCTTGCTGTTAAATGCAATCAGTGTTTATTTGCAATTCTATTGAGAATTCAGAAATAAATCAGATATTAGTTTGTGAACTTTATCATGAATTTGAACAAGGAATCAATTGAAAGGTCACTTCTTGATTCAGAGATGGGATTATCAGGTGGGATTGACGGTAATCCTAAATTACAACATCAATCACCACAATTTAATCAACAACAGGGTTCAAATATTGATCCATCTCAACCTCAAATCCAACCACAATCCCAACAACAGTCACAACAAGTTGCTGGTTTAAATTATGCTCGAAATATTGATTTGACACTTTCAGGTTCGGGTAAATCGCCTCGAGGTAAAAAACTGTTCACCGGCATTGGTGAATCAGTTACATCGTCAATATGTTCTAGTCAAGGGATACCCGGTTTAACTTCAAACACGGTTGGTCTTATAACGGGATCGGGTTGTGAGTCTCATCGAAAGTTAATTAAACGGAAAAGCGGTGACAGTGGTAAGAATGTTAAAAATAGTCCAACTCTTGGGTCAGAGAAAGGGTTTAATGGTAGTGGTCATCATAATCATCATCATCATCATCCAACTCCCCATCATCATGTAAGCTCCACTCATGGTGGGGTAGCCTCACAGGCCAGTCTTCCGTCCAATCCTTATAAACCTTTAAATGCATTTGAAAAGTCTTACTTACTCGCCGTTGAGAGAGGTGACCTGGGTGGTGTTTCTCGAATGCTAAGTACGGCACCCGAAGATTTTAACATTAACTGTTGTGACCCATTGGGTCGAAGTGCCCTTCTCATGGCCATCGACAATGAAAATCTGAACATGATCTGCGCTTTACTTGATCAAGGTGCCGAAATGAGAGATGCTCTTTTGCATGCAATCAATGAAGAGTTTGTTGAAGCCGTTGAACTTTTACTCGACCAGGAAGATGCAATTTGGGAAGAGGGGACACCCCATTCATGGGAAGCGATCGAGCGGGAAACTTTCACCTCGGACATAACCCCGCTCATCTTGGCCGCACATAAAAACAATTATGAGATAATTAAGATTCTTCTTGATCGAGGTGTCTCACCGATCCCTTCACCACACGATGCTCACTGTGGCTGTCGGGAATGTCGAGAGGCTCGAGCCCAAGATTGTCTCCGTCATTCAAGATCACGAATCAACGCTTACCGAGCATTAGCTTCACCCTCACTTATCGCACTTTCCTCAAAAGACCCGATTCTAACCGCTTTTGAACTAAGTTGGGATCTTCGTCGTCTCTCTTTCCTCGAACCCGAATTTAAAACTGAATATCAAGAACTGAGAAAACAGTGTCAAGCTTTTGCCACCGCTCTTCTTGACCATACACGAACCACCCATGAACTTGACGTTCTCCTAAACTATGACCCAACCGGTGACACCTCTGATTCTCATGGTAAAATGAACCTTTTACGCCTTAAATTTGCCATTCGATGTAAACAGAAAAAGTTTTGTGCCCATGCGAATGTACAACAATTATTAGCTTCCATTTGGTATGAGGGTTTACCTGGTTTTCGTCGGCGTAACATTGTCGTTCAAACCGTTGAGATCCTTTTGATTGGCCTTCTATTTCCGTTCCTATCACTTGCATACATCCTATTTCCGGGTACAAATATTGGTCAAGTGATTAAAAAACCTTTCATCAAGTTTATCTGTCATTCAGCAAGTTACGTAACCTTTTTGAGTGAGTACCAAGTATTATCATATTTTTTATCATCTTCACATCCAACCTCGCATTCACCCTCACCCTCACTCCGCATGATAGTTTTCATGAAGATAAAACAAAGGGATATAAACATTAATCTAATCCTGGCAAAAAAATCAAATTGCTAATCCATATAAACACATAAGCGAAAACTAATAATATGCAAATCTATCTAATCATCATGATCCTGAGAGTTTAGATGAGTTTAACTCTGGTTTCCCACTCCTTTCATCTTCCTGATTATCATGTTGCTTCATTGAAAATAATATCCTGATTCAGGAATAAGGTAAAGGTTAGAACTTTATTTATCTTTTATTTTTTTTCTTCTTCGAAAAGTTGAAAAGTTTTCTTCTTCCTTTCTAAATTAACTCCCAACAGGGAGGATCAATTTTCAGTCTTGAATAAAGTTTGTCACTTTTGTGGTGTTTTTATGTAACATGATTCATTCAGAATTCATAATCACCATGACTATTATCATTTCTATGAGCTCAGAATTCATTAGATTATCTAATTCAACTTCATTCACTTTGCATCAATGTTACATCTTCATTCATTCATTCATGGTTATCACCAAGGATTCAGGTTTTCCAAAATCTTTAGGAATAACTTTATTTTTCCTCGAGTTCCCATAGAGATGAAATAACATTAAAATAACTGTTTCCAGTTCATATTCATTGTTATCATGATATTGATTGTTACACATTTACAATATAAAAAAAACCACATACAAACATCAGGTAGGGTAAAGAAAAGGTCAAAAATCAGTAACTCAGTGGTCAGTGAACATTATGAAAGTTATTGAGGTTGACCGGTAATGAGCATGAGTTTTTTTTCATATTATTTTGATCAATTTTAACCATGATGGTGATTATCATAATAATCATGCTAATGATACTTATTAGTTAACCATGAGGTTGGACAAGCAAGAAAAAAATCTAAATTAGTTGACCATTTAAAGTTACAGTTATAATTTTATTATAAAAGTTAATTAGCTGAACCGCAAGGTTGATAATTAAATTATCATCTTGTTGATCAACATTTAATTTTCTGTATACAAATGAATAATTAGCTAATTAACTTGAATTAAGGAATATGAGAAATGTTGAGATTGATTCAGATTCTAAGACTGAAAAAAACATGAATATTTTCATACCTCTGATTTTATTTCCCCTGAAAGATGAGATTCATGTAAATCAGTTGGAAGAGGACAAGGAAGATAAGAAGAGAGAGAGAGAGAGAGAGAGAGATAACTGAATTTCTTTTGTAATCTCAACGTCATGAAATCGAACGATTGAAATAATAAAAAGAAGAAGAAAATTCCATTTTCCTGACAACATGAAGGATTTTCAGAGTTTCGAACTTTTTTTTTGGAAATATTATAAATCCATGGGATGAATTGAGGTTAATCATGAGGAATAAAACTAATTGTCGAAGCAAAAATAAAAAACTTCCAACAAAAATAGGAAATGATGAAATTGTGAGTTAATTGAAATTATCAATTAATGTATCAAAATAATGTTTCTTTTATCATAATCATAATTATCCTAATGATTAAGGTGATAAATGTTAACCTTTCACCCTAACAACCTTAACCATTAATTATGAACCATCATGATTTATATGAGTAGGATGATATTTTTTATCATGTCAAGTGTTGATAATTGTTCATTGTTATCATATCACACATTTAACAATAACATTTAAGAGGTAAAGTTAAATATTAATCACAATTAATTGTTGACAATATGTTGACAATCATAACAAGTTTCACAACAACTTATCAACTGATCACTTCTCAATCACTAATCAACATGTTAGATCAATGGTAAAATTATCAATTAAAAGTTGCAAGCTTATTATCGTTATGGAATATTGTAAATTGATTAGTCATAATCAATGATTATGATTTCAATTGTTGAGAATATTAATTTGTAGGTTAATAAGCTCGCTAATCAATTTATATCAATATCGATGAAAGAAAATTAAATTACCGAATAGGAGAACTCATGTTTTCGATGATTAATTATGTGCTACATTCATGGGGAATTTTGTCCATGTTGTCAATTCTTAATTAGTCCCTGAACTTTTGTTGGTAACTTTGTGTTTCCTTTTCCTCATTAGCTTTTTGCATTTATTTCAAAACTTGTTCACTTTGGCAACACCACATTGATACAGTCAGAAAATTGATGAAATGAGTAGACAAGGAAGTGAATCTATTGGTTTCATATTGAAATCTCTTGAATTCAGTCAATTTTCATTGGTAATTGTGACCATTCATGGGTAAACCTCTTTGAGTTTTGATTGTTGTCATGATAAAACGATACAGATCGTTTGAAATGTCCGTTAACTGGTTAATCAAAGAAACTAAATTGTAAAGGTAAATTAGGTCTCGAGATTATTGTTATTATAATAAATGGAAATGATGAAAAGGGGACATGATGTATTTCACTTGAAAATGATGATTTTCATGATGAAAATTAGGAACTTGGGTTTGACCTAATTCGTGAAGAACCATTGTCATGTCATGCGGAACCAATTCCATGAGGTTTGTTACTCTTCCATCATGATGATACTCTGAAAATGAGAGAGAAAAAGAAAGAGAAAAAACTCAATATCAAAAGAAGAGAAAGATAAGTGCATGATAGAATTCTGAGTCTACAGAATTTTTTCCTTTTTCCATCTTCTTCTTCTTCTCATCTTTCATCTTCTTCTTCCATAATATATAATGAGAAAAAAAATGTTCCAAGTTTTTTTTTCCTCTTTTGTCTTATCTCAAAATGAAAGAAAATGAAATGTTCCTCTCATGAAGGTAAGTTCCAGATTCTCATGATAGTATTCAATGTCTATTCTCAAGTCCATTTAGTAATCCTCATCCCTTGACTGTTATCTAATAAAAGGGACTTTTAATATATCAATCTAATAACAATAACAATGCGATTAAATGAGTTTCCGTTTTCAACTGACCCTTTTATCATTTCCGGGTTCTGTCCCCACTCCACCCTTTTTTTTTGTTATTCATGATAAACAATATGACTATTACCTTTGTCAACTCTCATGATGATCATATTGTTATCTGGAATCAGTAATCTGATCATTTTAATGGTAAAACCTTTCAACATTATCCTATCCTGGATGAAAATAATATCTCATGAAACTCAGAACTTTGTTCAGAACTTTTTCCTTTCTTCATCTTTTCTCATCTTCCATTAATATTCAGATAACTTTTTTTCCCCTCATTTCATCATCAAAATATTATTATCATGGAGAAACCATCATGATAATATTGATGGAATTCATTGCTTATAATATTTAATCATCTATCAGTCAATTGATTTACTTTTCAAATGAATAATCAATTTGTTTGTCAAGATTCAACTTATTGATTTAAGATTAATCAATATGCTAATTATCACAGATGAAATTAGTTGATTGTAATTGTTTAATCATTCTTGATATTGAACAATTAAAAAACGACCAAAATCAATTCAATTTCTCAACTTAATCTTGTATCCTTTTGATTGCTAATCAATTGAGATTGCAATCTTAATCAAATCGATTGATAAATCAGACAATCAATTTTATTCCTGTGAATTAATCATTATTATCTATTATTAAGATGATAAAATAATTTTTTTTCTTTAAATTATAAATTTCTAAAGTCAATATGAGTTTAAATTCTGAATATAAATCATTTTAATCTTGAATATAAACATGATCAGTTAACCAGAACTTTCATTAAAAGGAACCAGAATTTTTTTTTTCTTCCTGATGATTTATATAAATTCAACCTTAATCATAATTGTGGTTCAATGATTTTCAATCATAATCATGATAGTTATCATGTAATCAGAATAAAATTCAGTTTCAAATGATTCATCAATGATTAACTTGAATAGGAAAATAAATTTCATCTCCTTTTTTTTTATTGATAATTGAAGACAATCAATTTTAACAGTTAAGTGTGGGGGAGGATATTAAGGATAATCATAAATTGCTGCTGTGATTAATTGTTCAACTAAATTGTGTGGTAATAAAAGTCTAATCATCTAACTGATTATCTTAATTTGTGTGTATTTTGTATTCAATCATTAGAGTTGATTGTTGCCAAGAAAAACAAGAAAATTGAAATCTAATCAAGTTAATGATGGTTGGTTGTTGATTGTTGATTAGTTTTCAAGTATTAATTGTATCATGATTACTATGATTTTCCCCTTTTTTTTTAATCATGTTTTTAGCGATAAATATAATCACTTGCGTGGATAATTGTAATTAACTGGGATCATGTTATTGATTGTGACACTTTAACCAATTGTCACAATCAAAAAGTTATTGATCATTTCTCATCCTCATGTTGATCATTTTTCATTTACAATCATGATCAAAAAAAAACCAAATACCTTTTACTATCATCAACAGAATTAATCTGACACAATTAACCAAATGATGATTTAGTTAACTGTGAAAAAATTTCATCGCCATTAAAATGATTATCATGAAAAACCACTTAATCCAGTTCAATGATCATCAATCAATTGTCAGAGTAAACTTTTTCTTTTCTCATATCAATATATGAATACAAATGAATAACAAAAATAACAATTTAAATTTCCATAACAATTAATAAAACTAATTGTAATTCTCACTCTCTCTTAATTGTCCCAAACAATTGCTCGAAAAATTGTCAATAATTAAAAACCATCCCAAGAAAAACAAACAGCTCACCCAAAAGTTTACCTTTGACAATCAAACAACATCACCTAAATTGTATTACTAATTAATAGTTAATTTGTTAATTGTTGTACTCTTAATTGTCAACAGTATTATTGGCCTTGGCTTCACAACGGATTGAGACAAATGCATTTGATATTTTTGGTGTTTCGTCAAAGGAAGAGGCGATTACCAAACGAGGGGCACCGCCGACACTCATTGAGCTCATGGTTTTAGCTTGGGTCATAGGTGAGTGATTGGAACCATTTTAATTTGATTGTTAACAATTTCATTAACTCATCTTCTTCCAATTCCCTGCAGGGTTAATCTGGAGTGAGATTAAACAATTATGGGAACTTGGATTAATGGATTATCTAAGTGACATGTGGAATATATTAGATTTTATTACTAATTCACTTTATGTGGCTACAATTACATTACGAGTCATTGCCTACGCACAAGTGAGTTTAATTGTTACAACAATTAGAAACAAAATTACGTTAATTGTAATTGAAACTTTCCAGTAAATTGATTGAGTATCATCTTAGTGAATATTATGATAACTAGCAAATCAATTTGATCATTTATATTATTATCTCTCAGTTTGTTACAAGATTTTCACTTAATTGTGATCATTATGATGATAACAGTTAACATGATTAAATCATGTTGTTAAGATGATCAATTTAATCAGATTTTATATCATGATTGATACCATTGATTAACCTTATCTAATATTATTATTATTTGATTGTACTTTTTTTTTATATCTCCTCTCGTACTGTATAATCATCATCAACCTTTGATTGTAATCAATTGATTTAGTTTGTGTTGG